AAAGTTTTATATGAAGATGAAATTAAGCATAATGTAGAAAAAGGTATCATATAGGACTTGAAATGTTCCGTGTTACTTTAATATACGTTTAAAAGGTATCGTTCGTACATACAAAACCCTACAAGAAATCAGCATTATTAAGGGTTTCGTAGAAAACCTTTTCGGGTATTGAAAATCGAAAACGTTTCTCAAAATACTCTTCAAATTTTATGTCGAAACAAATAGAAATAGTCGAAGTACTTCAGATTACCAAAAATAAAACTGCATTTCAATTTTTAATCCTAATAAAAGCAATCGTATATATTTTCTATGGGTGAGCTCAATTATATTCGCTTCAGTGAATGGGTTAAATAAAGATAATAGGATAGTTTGGGGGTTATATTAGAACTCAGATGGTAAGTGAGGGTGTGGGTGTGAGCATCTCTTTAGCAATACCGATACGTAAACCCACGCCATCTAGTAGACGAGTTGAATGAATTTGTTGTATTATTATTTATTTCTTCGTGAACATCTTGTAATGAATCTAAATCACTCTCATTATCTATTTCCATCAAATCATTTTCGACATCATTGTTCAATAAATTAATACTAAGATTTGCATAAGAATTCATTCCGTCTCTATTACTGAAAACAAGGATCTTAACAGTATCAGCATTTTCTTCTTTTAAATGAAGTTCATGTGAACGATTACGATAAATTTGCGATTTAAAAGTCGAATACGTTCGATAAGATACACCGCATGTTGAAGACAACTTGCAAGTCATTTGGAACCGAGCTTCATTTTGATAAAACATTGGAATACGTCGAAAAAACTTTCCGAAGTTTACAAGCATGCGACCATTTTGACAAAGAGGACATGTAAACGATGATATGTTGATTTCAAAGCGAAAGTAAAATATTCTGCAAGCACTGTTTTCTTGACAAAATCAACTAAAATTGAAACTTTTTCTTAATACACACATATACAGTGCTGTGAAAAATTATGGAATCACTTCCTTAATTTCAGTTGTTAGTTTATTTTCGATCAACTTAGGTTGCTTAGGAAGTCAAAGCCCGTGCTGGTGGTACACATTCGAGTAAGCTCTATTCAATTATCACGTCAGATTCCTGAATACTATTATTAGGTTTGAGAAAACTAAAGCTTATAGGAATTGGTCAGTTTTTACTTGTGAAAAATTATATAGAATCAGTGCCGAATTCTAGTTGTTTTCGTGTCAAAGGGAATTCGATTATGATTGAAAGTGGCATGCATGAATAGAGACAGTCATTCAGAGCGTTTCAATCACGAAAAATTTGAAAAGAGATATATACTCGAAATGAAAAAGAGGTGGTATTAATCAAGCAAAAGTGACTGGAAAACACAAACTAAGCTCAGTAATTCGGTTAGACTTTTTGAGTATAGATGATATCATTATTTGTTTCAATGAATTCAGAGCGAAAACACATTTTGCAACAAAATGAGATACTCTGGAACTCTCTACACCCCTTCATTACAGCAACAGGCGTGGTATCAAAAATAGAATATAAAATACTTTTTGTAAGTCTCCATCAGCTCCGTGAGTTCTTACTCAGAATAACTTCGGGAAATAGTAACTAGCTGAAAATCACATCTTATCATTTAATTTCATAGAGACTTAGAAAAAATTCTCAATATTGCTGAAATTCGAGAAGGGAGCGGTGATTTTCGAGTAATCAAGACTTGAATAGAATCTCGTCAATCCCCTTGTATTTTTGATTCCATGCCTATTGCCGTAATGAGAACATGTAGAGAGTTCCAAAGTATCTCATTTTGTTGCAAAATGTGTTTTCGCTCTGAATTCATCTTTAAAAAGAACGATATCATCTTTATTCCAAGTAATATAGCCAGACTACTGAGATTAGATTGTGTTTTCCAGTCATTTTCGCTTGATTAATACCACCTCATTTTTATTTCAAGCATACATCTATTTTCAAAGTTTCTGTGATTGAAACGCTCTGAATGACTGTCTCTATTCATGCATGCCACTTTCAATCATAATCGAATTCCCTTTGACACGAAAACAACTAGAATTCGGCACTG